CCATGATGCGTTCTGAGCATTCATTGTTTTAACCATATCACGACGGACAGGTTGTAACGAACTTCGTCGTTAACACTCCGCTCAGCATCTATGTTATCATCTGGAAGTAAGCAAGGGTTTATAATGTGCCACTGCAAAAGATACTGTATTGATAAAAAGTGCAAGTGTCGCTCCAAGAATATAAAATGCAACTCCAAATGCCACAGTAATAGTTCCTGTAAAAATAAATAGCAATCAAATACTTATTTTAAGTACATTATTGTTGTTTATTGGTGGACAATAAACATTTATGTTTGTGTTAAATATTTTTATTACTTGAAAGAATTTAAATTGTCATACAAAAATTAAAATCCCTAATTATTTTAAGTGAATTGTAAGAAATTTACAAATGATTAACATTTCGTGTTCAGTAATTTATTACTTAATATTAAATACGTTGATTTTTTTTAAATATAAAGTAATCTCAATAAACAACAAATATCGTTTTATTTTAATTTATATAATAACAAACACGTTATGTAGTGATTTTATAAAATAAAAAATATTTCCTAAGGACATCTACCAAAACGTTTCCAGCCTAGGCCTAGTAGGATCCATATCGGAAAGTAGTGTGCGTCGTAATCAAATAATATTCCATACGCGTGATGGCTTTTCTTCATTGCCACAACGCGTTGAGATCGAATAGCATGTCAGCCACGACACGAATTTCGCTATTTGGTCTTTCTGTGATTGCCACAACGCGTCGTGCGCGTTTTCATTAGAGCCATAACACGAATTTCGCCATGTGGATGTTTTACTGTGACCACAACGCGTTGTGAGCTATTTTTCCGCTCACTGAGCGTTTTCGATCTTTGAGCGTAACATATGTATTAGCCGTGCACCTATTGACGCTGCGAGCAACTCTAGACGAGGTATAGTTATGCTTTTAGACTTAGGTGCTACACGGGATTTTGCCTGAACAAATCTAACATTCACTTTCGAGTCTGTCTCTATTCGAACAAATACAACAGCCGCGTATGCGTACTGACTTGCATCTACAAACAAGTGAAACGAAACTTTTCTATTACATTCACTACCTATAAGGCATCTTGGAATCTCGATTTTATTGATCAAATATATCTGAGAATACCACTTTAGGAATGCATCTTTCTGAGCTTCCGGAATCTCAGAATCCCAATCGCAGTAATCACTACACAAATCACGTAATAATCACTTAGGTTTTACTAAAATAGGGCACACTAAACCAATTATGTCAAAAATTTTATGACTCACTGATAAGATAAATCGTCTTGTAATTTTTTACTGACTGTTAATTAATTGTATACTATCCAAAGAAAGTGTATCGCGTTGTTTATTCCACTTTAACCCTAAAACATTGGCTTGGTAATGGGCACTATCATCTCTGGAATACTCCCAACAGCGTAAATCCATACCACCTTTCGACATAACTGCTATGGCTTTATCACGAAATTCATTCAATTCATCTATCGAACTCACACTCGTCACACTGTTGTCCACATAAAAAGACTTCAGTAACTTACCAATAATATCCTTATCATGATTAGAATCAGTGCTATCTAACACAGACAACAAATGATGTTCAATAGTGGCCTCTAGCAGAAATGGGCTACAGGTCAATCCGAATACGACTCTACAATGTCGATAAACCTGTAATTTGTTAGAATCATTATTATCCCACCATAAAAAGCGTAACACATCCCTGTCTTTCCGAGAAACGCTAATTTGTAAAAATGCTTTTCTAATATCAGAAATGACCCCTATTTCTTTCTCCCTAAAACGTAGTAGTATGTTAGGAATAAGTTCAATTAAGTTAGGACCAGTTTCTAAACATTGGTTAAGAGAAGGATGATTAGAACAACGCGCTGAAGCATCGAATACGGGGCGAACTGGTGTTGTGCTACTGCTTAGTCGTATCACGGGCTTATGCGGCAGATAATGACAGTTTACATTGTTATACTCACAGTCAGGTACTTTTTCGATAATACCTTCAGACATCCAGTCACTGAATATTTTCCCATATACCTCGTAATAGTTTTCAGACTTTAACTTAGCTGTTACTTTCTGTAATCGTTTGTATACCATTTCTCTGTTACTGGGTAATGGGGGGTGACTATCTTTCCAAGGTAAGAATACTTCGTACTTTCCGTCTTTATTAAAACTTGTAGTCATCTTAAAGAATTCTTTTACCTCTTGTACATGCACTACTTTACTCTTTTTCTCTGCGGGATCCATAATACCCAATGTATCCAATTTCCATAGATCTGATATATTAGCATCGTGGATAAAAAGCGAAATCACAGATAATGTAGTGTCGTTACTCTGAAAATTATCGTTCCTTTTACCAATCAGTGTCCACCCTAACTTCGATTCAATCACACATAATCCATTATCTAACTGTTTCATGTTATTAGTCAATATCTTACCCAACATATCTGCTCCAATCAATAGACTAATCGGTTCATTGTTTTGTTCAATATCTGTTAGAAACACATTCATATTGTGCAATTTTTCAATCAACATTTTATCATTTATTACTGGAATGTCACTGCATATTTTCTGTTTGTCAAAAACGTCAATATCACAAGTGAATGACATTGTCAAATTTTGCACGGAAATTCGATATTGATTATGAGTCTCTGGTAATGACGTAGAACCTCCAAAAAGTCCATGTTGAATAATTGTATTACCAAGTGACTTGTACTGCATATATTCTGCTACTTCCTTTAATATGTAGGAGTGCTGCGAGCCAGAGTCTATTAATGTTCGTACTGTCTTCATTTTTCCTTTATACTGTAATTTAACTCGGAACGTTTGAAGGAAAACATTTTGATGAACAGATATGTTAGAAACAGTTTTCATAGTTTGTTGATGCTCAGGATTGAATTGAGAAGTACTGGGCGTTGCAGCATCTCTACACATTAACAAAATATGTCTTCGGCCACACCATGCACATTTTTTGTTCAATTTACATTTACGAAAGCCGTGACCGAATTTCAGACATCTAAAACATACGTTTTTCTCTTTCACTACTCGTTGTCTTTCTTCTAATGTCATCTTTTTGGCTTTATTACATGTCGAACTTTCATGACTTTCGTTACAAAATATACATGAGATTTCTTTGGTGTTACCGGCCACCAGACTCGAAGCCGTAGGTATTACCTCTTCCGAAATGACACTCGCTTTCTTTGCTTTACTCTCGGTCGTGTTTCTGTTTACAAAACCGCGCGTGGCCATTGATATCCTCTCTTCATTTTCAGCTTCTGATCTAAGAAATTTCATTAGTGCATTTAACCGATTTTCTGGTTCTGGAGTCGATATGCGGCTTCTTTGCCAAACTCTTAATAACTCTTCTGGCAGAGATGACTCTACAAGAGGAAATAACATTGGTGCGCAGGCATTAGAAGTAACATTCAAAGATTCCAATGACCTTAGGTTGGATTCCAGCTTGTCATAAAGTACTGCCACTTGAAAGTTGTTTCTTGACTTAAAAATGTTGATTTCAATTACAAGTTGTATAAGCTTACGTGTGTATAAATCAACCAACAAATCGCTTCGACCAAATCTTGTTTTCAAACTTTCGACTGCCTTGGAATAATTATCACCAGTAGGAGGAAAACTATTTATTAAATCACCTGCTCTAGAGCCAGGAATAATGCTTTGTATAAGGTATTGGAATTTATCTTCGTTACTTAATTCCTCGTCTGCATCTATGTTTTTAAATTGGCTCCAAAATTTTAACCAATTAGAAAGATCACCATCAAATTTGTGCAGTTCTATTTTCGGTAGTCTCATTTTTCGTGTTGTATATTTTTCACTACCACATTTACTTGTTGCATCAACATTTTCTTTTCGTGAAAGTTGTGCTAAGTCGAACTCTGCACCTATATACTGTGATTTATACTGCTCAACAGATTCCAGTTCTTTTATGATAGTTTCTTCTATAGCGTTATCTTCTATTAACTCTTGAATTACTGCTTCATCTACAGATTGCATCTGCTGCATATATTGGGTTAATAGTTTGAAACTTACCTCCGCATCTTTTATTTGTTGCTTATCTATATGTACTAAAAACTTTTTCATCGTTTTCGTGAACATGGCACGGTACATTCCTCTTTTCATTGTTTTCTCCATATCAACAACCACTATTTACTTACGTTGGGCGCCAGATGTGATTTCGTTGGAGAATCAAAAGAATGAAAAACCTTATAATCCACAAAAAATGTATTGTGCCATGAAAAACCATTGAGAAAAGACAAAAACAAAGCAATACAAAAGTCTATCAACTACTTGACATAGAACATCACCTTAAAGTAAAGACAAAATGTATTTAGTAGACAACCTCTCTCGACAGCACATTCGCATAGGCCGATCATAGGATTGGCGACCAAAAATGACCAAAAATTAATTATCAGGCTCCTCCGTGCTTCAGGAGGCGCGTTAAGAGTTTTGTCTCGACTGCATCTGCAGTCGTTAACACCAGCCAATCCGCATCGGGCCCACGAGGTGGGTCAAAGCCCATTCTCCCTATTTGATTTCATCCATAGGGACGGCCTGAGCCTCAGCAGTGGAGGATTAGCTATTGAGAATTTTTACTTCACTCAATTTCTCATCTATTGGTTGATATATTTTTTTAATATATTTCTTATATTCAAGTAATTATATACTTCTACTCGACTATAAATGCGAACAAAGGTACCAACTGGTATCTAGTAGATACTTAATACTTTGCCTTCTACATGTTAGTTTGTCTTTAATACAACTAAGAGTATTTAATGCAACTAAAATATTACTGCCTAACAAGCGATTTGGTTTGTGTAACTCTCTTTGTTGAATTCGTCTGGCATATACTAGGTATAATTTTTAAACTGTAACATTGTTATCCTGATTTGATTGCGAAATTTCCTTAAATGAATGTCTGGTACCAAAATTATGCAAATTAAAGTTATTACACAAAAAGAAAGATGTATTCTTATACCGACCTCGATTTGTAACACCGCTGGCTTTATTCGGGAATTGTGCCAAATCCTCTGCATTTGCGTAAGGTTGAAATTTGATACTCCGATGGATCTCGTGAGATTTCTGTCTTTAGCATCTTCAATACCTTTCCATGTATCTAAGTAATCAGTTAAACTAATGCTCCCATCTTTCTGGAACAGTTTGTTATATTTAATATACATTTTGTAATCAATTTCTTTTGCTTAAGTTCATATTTATTTATTTAAGGTACACCAACAGCTATACATGTAAATACATTTTTTACATACAGGGATAATTGTATAGTGCCTACATGATAGCCAATGACTGGTATACACAACATTGTTAAGATTTAGATTAAGCTACTTGAAAATACAAAATACTATCATATAAATTAAAATTACAAAAAATTAGAATAAAACATTACAAATAACACATGCAACATGTAGCAAATACATACACCGATTACTGTTCAATATGCTTCAGCACTTAATCCTTGAAAACGGTAAAGCTATATAATGAGCATAATCTAGAAAGTGGCCGATGCAAACCCAAATTGGTTCTACTTCTAGGAAAATGAAAAAGTTTAGAGATACGATGACGTGGGTATTTGTGTGGTACGCTTAGATAAATTTGCTCGAGTAGATGACTGCATTTTGTTCTGCCATTAACCATATTATATGCGTATATAAAAGTGAAAGAAAACGAAAATCCGGTCAAGTGAGAGTTAGACTCACATACGAACAACCATTATCCATTTTGATGTTTTATATGGAGTTTTTGGAAAATTTCGACATAAATACAATTGCTCGACTATTACTCGTAAACTTGTAAAGCTAACTTAACCCTATTCTTGGCATTGATACGTTAATTTTGTTGAATACAAAGTTAACGTTGTTGAATACAAAGTTAACGTATCAAATAATACTGCCCTGAAAAAGTAATGTCCATGTTTATTTATAATTATTACATATCGTGGAAAATATTATTCTGGTTATGGAACTACTTCAGTTATATATCGCAATATAATATAAATTCAGTAATACAATATATTGATCAAATTAATAACTTAAACGGTTAGTTGCTAAACCGTAATTATATTTGCTTCGAGTGAATCCTATTTCCAAATCTATCGATCAAGATCAAGTAAGAAGTGTAATTTGAATCACAATACTTGATTGTAAGTTAGATATTTGGTACTATAGAAGTTTAAAGAACGTTTTAACGTGTGCATATCAATTTAATAAAAATGTTGTAAACCCCAAATAGGCCCTAATTTTATCTAAAAACATAAATGCTCTTAATAACTATATATCTTAACTTTAACACAAAACAAATAGAAAACACTAGACCAAATGGTAGAATAACTAATGCCTCGATACCTCAAGGGAGTGTAATTGGTTGTTTAATGTTTCTTGTATACATAAATGACATTCGCATCATCTTTAACCTCCAAAATGCAGATAGCTGTAACCATACTTTTATAAATTATGAATATTGTTGTATATACGTATTTATTGTATATGTATTTTAAAAGTATATAAGTTCGTACTAAAATACCAGGAATTTCATAAAAGAACGTGAAGAAACAACTACTTATAATTTACGCAATCGGAATAAGTTAACCATAGCAACTAGAGAATACAATCTCGGGGTCGGGGTTCGGGCAAGATCTGGCAAGTTTACGAATATCTCGCGAGAACGAAATCTCTCGAGAACGAGATTGCATTCCCTAATAGCAACATACCGCTTAAAATTACACTTAAAAATTACACGCAATTTGCCAACTCGATAAAACACTTAAATAAAGAAAAAGATTACATAAAACAAATAAAGGATTTATTAACTGAAAAGCATTATTATACTATACCTACAAGAATACCTAAGTGAAAAACTTTAACTCCAATTAAAATGTAATATTCTAGTTTTGTATTTTAATATTAACATCTATTGAATAGGTAAGTTCTCAAAACATAAATTATTTAGTTTATAAAACAAAGGAAATACTTATTACCTACAGTTTAAGGCGCAGTTTATGATCATCTTAATACTACATTGTGGAATGCAATAAAATAAATAAATAAAATAAACTTGGTGAATATTATAATTTATATCATTCGTTTATTGTTTCCGCCCTATGCCTCCAGGTTTTTTTTAATAATAATAATCAGCTTATAAATGTCGTCACACAAAAATTTGCTAATTGCTAGTTGTCAAAGTGAAACATAAACGAAACGTCTTAATTACCTCATTATAATTGGGCTAAATCGTGGTCATGTGTGAACCTATTATAAATAAATAATAATAATAAAAATGAATAATTACTAATTTAAAATGTTTGTATTAGGCACTCTGCCGAAAAGATAATGGATACTATTTATAATGCCCGGTCAATTTGATTATTTGAATAATTATTATAAAATTGCTCTCTAATATTGGACATTTTTCATATTGCCCGGTATTATGTATTATTAGTAAGTTATCACTTGGTTCATAACAGTTATAGTACAACTAGTCATAATGGTTACTATTATAGGTTTTTTTTATCAGTGGATGGTAACTAAAGGTTTTACTTATAGAAAAGAAAGTTACTTGTGTTTATTTTAACCATTGACCGTTAAAGCAAATTGGTAATAACAGAAAAGAAAACGTCAAATTGAATTATTGTTATCGGAGTATTGTTTAAACCTAGTTCTTAAGTTAATCCTCATTTGTAATAAGATAATTCTATTTATTTGTAGTTGCGATAAGTGATTTATCTTGATATCAACTGACAATAATGTAAAACACCTATCATATTTATTTTTTACATTTCCATCCAATGTACATATAAACGATATTATTCTGCAAAAGCTATTGAGTGGGTTGGACTTGAGAAATAATATTATTTCTTTGGTCCGATCCTTACCTTATTATACTTATGCGAATTTATACAGCTGTTAAAATCCCTTATCTTCGCACGTGGGAGAGACATAACACAGAATTTTACCTATAAATTAAAACTATGTGGGTTGAAATTAAAAGGGTCCAGAATATGTAAGAGAAGACCTTTTATGAGGTACACCGTTGACTTGGGGCCTTTAATCTTTGACCTCTTGTTGTTACCTTTTTTATGAAAATAAAGATTTTGCTTTCTAAAAAATAAATTCTGATATTAATGCAAAAGATTAATAAAGGTGAGCGTAAACTTCTTTCTTGAGATCTATGTTTATTCATATAAATAAAAATGGATACACTTTATTAGTTATGATAATTATTTTACATAACTCGATATTCATAATTTGCGAATTAGGTCTTATTAATTAATGTTGTTATTATACTAATTTAATAAGTGCTGAAGTAAATCTGTACCTACAGACAGAGTTATTATGTCTATTACATTTTCACGCCAAGGTCTTACACCAAGGTTGGATTTTGTGACTCGAGTCACTCGAGCCAATTAATTACCTCACTCAAGTTATACTCGAGTTTTCAAATGACTCGAGTAAAAAAATTTCAAACGTGCTACTCGAGCGAGATTTCTCTTATAAAATTTTAATACATACATACATAACATAAATAAAATACGCATTAAAAGAGTTTCGACATATTATTTATTTTAGTTTTAATTAAGAAAATAAAACTCGAATGATATTTTTTCACTCGAGCACAAGTTTGAAAAAAGTCACTCACGTGACTCGAGTAAAGACAGGAATCGTATCGCATCACTAGATCTTTGTTCTCAAAAAAACTCAGTCAGCAGTTTTTAAATACACAATATTTAAAAACTGCTGACTGAGTTTTTTTTGCAGCAGTTTAGGAAAAAGTGAATATATGGGTTTAAAATCTGACTACTGTAATAATCATATTTATTTTCAGCTATTAAAAAAGTAATACTCACTTGACGTATTTGATCTTTTAGATTATATGCGCTATTATAATTTATTTTGTTTAAATTATCAACTAGCTGGGTCGTTAAGTTCCTGAATGGGACATCCAATACTGAATCAAGTATACCTCTTGGGCTACTGCTGTACACTTAGGACGTGCATTTGTGCAAATAATTCTGATATATCTCTAAATACCGATTAAGCATTTCACAATAATAGTGATAGTAATAGACTAATAAACAAGTTACCTATCTTAAGTGTTACTTTATCCCACAAATTACATCCTGCAATTCTTTTTTCGTTCTCAAGTTGAAGTTGAAGAGAAAATCAATAATTGTTTTAATATTTCTTTGGTTTGGTTATTAGGTTAGATCAATAATCTTTGTATGTTCTAAGGCGAAATAAATTATTCAATTTCGAGAAAGAATATATTCTGTTATTACTGGGACCAGAATTGTTGAATCCGGAATCAATATATGTTCCATCAACAGACACTTTTGCCGGTGCGAGGATCAATCGGGCGACCCAACGCCTCGAAAGTGCCGTTTGTAGGCAAAATGGGAAGTCAATTTTCACCCTCAATATTTTCATACTACCTGAAACAGAACACGTGAGCAAAGGTCGTTTTCATCTTAAAATTGAAACTAAGAGGCTCTGCTGTTGTTTTATTTACTTTTCACAATACAACAGGAGTGACAATTTGAGAATGAAGCTTGGAACTTCACCATGTCAATTTAAAGAACGTATCTATTTCAAATTATCAAATCAAATAATTTATTTGCAAATACTGGTAATACATAGAGCTGATACACAATTAATGTCAAACTTATTTCATATTTTCACTAATCATTAAAAAAGCATTGTTATGTTCATATGCCAATTGATATATATATAAAATGATTTAAAATACAATAAATTTATGAGTCAAATTTGTCATTTAAGAATTCGTTAACACTATAATATTAACGTTAACATTATAATATTTTAATTTGGTGCGGAAAGTACTTAAACTGTTGTTTTTTTCGATGTCCTGAGGTATCATATTGTAAATTCGAGGTGCCATACATAGTACACTATTATTCATAAGCCATGTCCTGTTACGTGGAATACAGAGTTTGCTTTTTAGTCTTTTACTCTTAAAAATTTTACATAAGTGGTAATTAGTCCTCACAAATACGGCCTTTTTTATATATATGCATAGATGTTAAAGTCAAAAATTTCAGAGATATAAAATTAATAGAATTCATAAAAGCATAACTTATGATATTACAGAGTTAAACATATTACATAGTTTCACTTTTTTATTTAAGTGTTTACGACATTTATAGACACGAAGGTTTGTGCCAATACATGTCGATATCAATATCAGTTAATTCAAACTTCATTAACAGATTATGAATAATAATACATAAATTCCACATGACTTCAGAATATTCTATCAGCCAATTGCTTCACGATTCTTTAACATAATGCATCGATTTAAAAAGTCAGTTTAAAATATTAAAAGTAAACACAACTTTATCAACAAAACAGGAGCTTTCCCGAGAAAAACGTTTTCAGCGTGAAACAGAACTCAATTTCAACCTGAATTGACCAAATAAATTCAAATGGATTTACATAAATATTCGAACTTCATTAAAATACGAATGCATATTTATTTGTGAACGATTTATTATGCATGCGATCGTTTATAATTATTTCTGTTCTAAAGCGATTAATCCTCGTGATGGCATTCAGAATTCTATCAAGTGAAACTATTTAGACCTTCGCTATTTCGAATGCAGCAGCTAGGAAGCTAGTCTGTGTACTATAGAACGGCAATCACCAAAGCAAACATTTGAAGTTGCAGTAGTGTAGCCAAACGACTATTTTATTACTTTGGGAATATTTTAAAGGAATTTCTATTGATTCGCGCATTTTACAAACGAGAACCAAATCTACAATACTTATTTGTATTTTGATACGTTTGGAATATGTGCCAGTGTGTAAATCGCGTAGCTCAACCTTACTTCTGTGAACAATCATATCTATAGTTATACAACACTAGCTTTCTGCCAGTGACTTCGCCCGCGTGGTCCATTTAAACTTCACCCCCCCCCCCCCTATTTCATCCCTTTAGAGGTTGAATGTAATTACATCATGTAAGGAGCCCCTGTACCAAAATTTAAGTTTCTAGGCATGATAATTTCGACTGTGCGTTGACATAAAAGTCGGTCAGGTGTGCCTTTTATATATTTTAATTTTTATATATTTTAGGTTTCAGTTTTAAAACTGTATATATGGGATCCAAATATGAAGTGTGGCGAGCAAGTCGAATATACTGTCTCCAACGAGTACAAAACGGCATACTGAGGGATGGTGAAGAGGTTGAAAAGAAACCACATACTTAATTAGTAGAAGCAGTGATTACCGCTTAACCAAACTAATTTCCATCTACATCAAAGAATCAGCTTATGGTCTCGCAAATCCCAATATAAAAAAATATAAATAGGAAAGATTTTAATGTTTGTTTGTTAGCATTGAGTGAGTAGATTTTAAAAATCTTTTCACCAACACGAAGCTACATCGGTGACATTGACTGACAGTGATTTGTGTGTGAAAATTAAAGATCCTAAGAGTTGGTTAAGGTGCTATAATATGATATCGTAAGATAATATATCGCTCGCCATACATTACAACGGCCAATATAATATAATATTTTTACATTAAGTATTAAGATACTACGGGATACGGAAATATACATTTCGTAGGTTAAAACAACTTAAGATATCTTAACATGAAATATTATAGCATTTTAACAGTCTGTTATGAGCTTAAAGCCAAGTGGAAGTTGCGAGGAAACACCAAGTAAGAAACATACCTGCACACTTAATTTTCAGTTCGCTTTAAGCCTGGACACATCATCATGTACTAACCTTGTATGCCATCGGATAGTGCATCAAGTACAAGTCTACATAATCCACCTGCAATTGCTCCAATGATTTTCTCAAAGCTGGTATCACATCATCTCTTTCGTGGGCATCATTCCAAAGCTGGAAAACGAAAATGTAAATTAAAAAATTTTAATGAGACATTAAAATAACTACTGTTCAATGGAGAATGAACACAAACTCCTTTGCAAGATAAAAAACGGATTTAAAAAAATTTGCCGTTTTGGCAGCCAGCTTGAACTTTTTGAATTTGAGACGCGTGTTGGCTATAGCCACAAATATTAAATAAATTATTGTTAAGTAATCTTTAGGGCTAAATATTACCTAATTATAAATAAACAAATTAATGTTACAAATATGTGTGAAAACAAATTTTCTCTTATGGTGAAACGTGCGATGTTTTCATTTAATAAACTACTAAAGTGTACCGAAGAAAAGAAACAACCTATGGATAACTAACATCGAGCGTCGCACACAAGAACTACCCCTATTTTATATTTTTGGTAACATATTTTTTGTTTCATAAATAATAACAGCAATACACAAATAAATCCAAAAAAGAAAAAAAATCACAAAATAAATAGCTAAAGCCCCTGTGTTATGGAGTATCTGAGACAACAAAGTTATCACAACACCCAGGCCTGAGATAAAAAAAACTCCTTTTTCTACATTAACTTGACCGGGAATCGAATTCCGGAGTTCAGAGATGACCATACCTTAAACCAGCGTGGGAAGCACTCGTAGATACGTATAGAGATAAAGAAAAAAGTATTACATCACATACATTGCTAGGATTCCAAATTAAGTAGCTAAAGCACTTGAATTATAAAAATCTGAAACTATGAAAGTAACACAACATTCGGACTCGACATAACTTAGAAAAGTTCAATTCCTATATTAATCCATCTGGGAAACAAAACTCTGTCTTCAAAGATGGCGACGTATGTAGCTTCTCGGTCACGGAGCTGGTCGTGTGCCTTTATATTGATTTTTTCGTTAATATAGCCTTTTTCACATAGTATGGGTACGGTGGCATTTGGGATTTAAAGTTTTTAGCAACGTGGTAATAAAATATATATATACAAAAACTCCATATTATTGAGTTTATTTATAATAGAGGTAATCAATTTTGAGGTCAATATATATAAAAAGGATTTAAGAAAAATATTAATTCATCAACAAGGTGAACCCGTGCCAGAAAAGTACCAAATTTTATTAAAATTGAGTTTAAAAAAAATATTTACAAAATATTACCGAATATATATTTCGATTAATAGGGTAAGGATGCCGAATATGAGATACCATTTTTATTTTTGGATATAAAACATAAATTATTGCACTAATCATTATGAAAATTGCAATATTTGATAGGGTATTTAATGAAGTTTATTTATGAGAGACCGTTTAGTTCTGAGTATAATAGATTTTTTATTATATCAAAAAATATTAAGAAGTTCAGAAATTACGTCTCAGGCAAATGGTCTCCTATTATGAGATACTGAGGTTTACTAATATGAGACAGTATCTCATATTAGGTTCTTTAGGGTTTGAGTATAGATTTGGAGAAAAAGGAAAGAAATTAATTTGAATTAAACTTTTTATTGGCTATATTCTCTAATTAACAACATCATACTCCTAAACAAATAGGTCTGAGTACGACTTAATATATGTATGTAACGTACATAGTTATAATTTATATTATTATTATTTAAATTATTTAAATTTATCATAATCAGTGATTTTAAAATGGCACTTATTAAACAGTATCAAAAACAAAAGTATTATGCTAAATCTTAGATATGATTTATGTCAGACTCATCATAATCAGAGATTTTCAAATCATACTTATTAAACAATATTAGTAATCAACAAATTCAAAACTTTTATTCTAAATCTTAGATATTTAAACACTAACAGAAAAATCGATCTGTGGTTACTTCTCCACGATCCATGGTCTCAGGATTTCCTTTTGATCGGCCCCATCTAGTAAAAATGATTTTTCAAATAGTCATATTTTTATATATCCTAATACGAGATATCTCATTTTAGGAGCAATCGCATGTCTCATATTAGGAAAACATCTACATTCAACAAAATGGCTGCATATTATTTCTCAGTAAAGAAAATGTAATAAAACTGCATATGTATCATAAAATTCATGATATAATTGATAGAATGATGGTAAATTAAATTCATTCAGTTTAAATAATACAGCTGTAGTATACCTTGTAAATATTTGATGAGAAAAATTTGGTTTTGGGGTTTCGTGAAAACCCATGTGTACACAACCTAACTTCGCCTTGGACTGGGAAGCGCTAACACACGTTTTGATCTTTTGCCACGTGGCTTCTAGCGACAGTAGCACCAAATGGCTGCGGCTATTAGTTTCGCCAAAACCTAACTATCTCATATTTGGCAACTATCTCATATTCGGCATCCTTACCCTACGTTTTTATTAATTTAATCCCTATTAAAAAGACGTTCCACTTTTAGTTACAATTATTTATGTTTAAGACTTTAGATTTCAGTAATTATGGCTATTATAAACTTATTAGGAATAGAATAGAATAAATGTTTATTGAGAACTAGACAAATTGCAAAACAAAAAACTCAATGCAATAAAACATGTCTTTCAAAAATACTAGGTGCCAAATGGACCATCCGCTAATGTTAAGTACAAGACTATCTTTTTTTTTATTGTCGAGGAAATGCTTTTGGCACTATCCCTGTTACCTGGCAAGCAACAGGGGGTGTGTGGGACTCTCCTCCGTGAACCCACTCGGCAGGTGAACTACCCAGTTAGTTCCCGGAGGCCTACCCACCAAAACCCCTACGGTGTACCCTCTCGTGGGAGATGTCCCGGGAAGCCGTGACCGAGTCGCCAGGACACTCACTCCCAAGTACAAGACTACCTAACACAGATTTTCAGGCTCAACCCAAAGGGATAAGGTACGCACGAATATCAGCATAATAACATTTATTTAATAAAATTCATTTAATTAAAAAATAAATAAAATTGGTAGTATAATCTATTATTGACATTATAATACGTAATTAATAAAAAAATCAGCCATTAATATCTAATTAATAATACAGCCCTAACCCAGATGGCTCAGGATTACAACATTCTCAAAAACCATACGAACTACAACAACAACCCATTTGAAAAACATATGACATAAATATTTGGCAGTGCAGCATACAATTTTCGAATAGGAATTCGAAAATTTGTGTATGAACACGTAAAAAGTATTTGAAGTATAAATATTTGTTTTGAAATGCATATTAAATACATATCTAATATATAAACAGGATTTTTTTTTATTTCGATGATTTTTAAATATTTGGATTTGTTAACAAACGTCACAGTATCCATGCTATGTGATACCGACTATACATAAATATGCTTTATTACAAGTCTGCATTATCTTGAACGCAAAATGATACTGAAAATAAGCTTAAGCTCATCAAAAGTGACAATGTTGAATTAAAATTAGATTCACGTGTAACAGAAACACTTTATTGTGCAACAGAAAAGCTCGGGAAAAGATATTTTGTTTTGTTCTACAAAATTAATGCCATGAGAGCAATATCACTGCCAGCTGTCATGTGGAGGCCCTTTTCATTCCCTTATCTCTGGAATAAAAAACGTTGTTTTGTTAAATATATTTTTGTTATACGGGGCGTCTCTCAGATGTTCATTATATAAATAATAATTTATTTAGTACATAATCTATAGGAAGTATAAAACAAAGTAGTTTCCCGCTATTACATAACGGATTTTAATGTACAGAGTGATTAAAAAGGAAGGTTTAGGTGTATAATGCTAGAACACGCGGACGAAGCCGCCGGCGGAAAGCTAGAGCATATTCATTAAAACTTTTTAACCATCAACCTTTTTAACTTTCAACCCTGCGATTCTGTGAAAATCCAACCCGAATTCGAATTCACTCTGGTGTCTGAATTCACTTCAAGAAAGCGGTATCTGCTCAATCTTGTTTTTGTAATAACGTTTCGTGGCATAAGTGAAGTGATTTTCGTAATGATATAGAATAACTGAGACACGTATAATCAAACAATTTTGTTATGTTTGATTAAAATGGCTTCAATAGAATTTCCTCACTAAATGACATGAATTCACAACACATGAGTGATTTTTTTTAATCCTCAACAACAATCACCATCATAATAAAACTACATCATTCAAGATTCTAATGAATTAAAAACTCAAACCTTAGTCGTGACACTTTTGTAATAGCCATTCCTCGACTAGTGACAAAACATTTTTCATTTGTTTAACCGATTGAAAAGGATATTTTCTTGAAGGAGTCCCATTAAAATTGTAGGGAAATAAGACCGTTAGTTTTGTTTTGATATTTAAAAAAAAACTGGAATAATTTCATCGTCTAAATTATTTGACGATATCGTTATCAATGAAAAAAATTATAGTTTTTTAACTAAAAGGATAATTCTAAATAAGTACTAAATTTGATTGACTCGTTTTAAACCGAATTCAAAGTATGTTGAATTTGTTAACCATTATTGTAATTTTTGTGAATTATTTTTCCTTATTTTTAAAAGTCGGTTTTTTTACTATTCTTTTACTATTACTAGTTTAGTGCATCCATTTCTTTAACAGTTTCCTACCTCATTAGATACTATCATTCGTCATCTTTTACACTTTATATTTCTTGTTATTATTTGCACAAGCTTTTACATATGGTAATACATGTTCTTCGTTAATATTTTTGGGTTATTGTGCATAATAAATATGGTAAGTAGATTTTAAGTGTACCCCGTTTCAACAGACGGACAGCCAAGATACATTTTGTTTTCGACTACACATCGATTATATATGTATATTGTAAAGTTTTAAAAAATAATAAAAAAATATATTTAAAAAATATATTTTAAAGTTTTTAAAAATGCAAAGAATTGGAAAGTGTATTTGTTTGTTTTTTCTTCTTTCACTCTTAACGATGCGTCTTATGGTAAGAATTTGACAGAAAATGAACCAGTGTCAATAGAGTCCATTATGTTTCGTATTCATATTCCTGCATATTAAAATTTAAAAAGAAAATCTATTCATTAAAAATTTACCACGTGATACAATATTCATAGTTATTTGAATTTGACCACGAAAGCGGAACCGCGGTTAATCTATTTTCACATTTTCACAAATGATTATAATTGTACGTTATAGTTTCACAATAAGCTAAGATAACATAATTTTCGACAGCAAACCGTGGCGTGCAGAATTGTTCAATTAAAAATAAAATTAGGCAAGAAAGTATATTTAAAAACAATGTATGTATATTTAAAAATAATATATAAGACAGAAAGTAACAAACAAATAACAAAAGGCGATAAAAGCCACAAAAATTCAAATAAAAGAATACAAAATACGTATCTCAAAATACTGACATAGCTTCAACAATAACTTAGAAAACAAAGCAACCTACGTTTAAAATTCATACACATTGAAACTAAATCAACTAGATATATACATATATATAGTACAAGCAGGGTAAATTGTATGTTCTAATTTTCGGGGCACACGAGCCAAATTCTTCAAGGACTTACCGCCATCTTGACAGTCTGATTCCTGAATGGATTAAATATAGATTGGCAACGGAGCTCGTCAGCAAAAGGTTGACTTATACGTAATTTATAATCGGTACTTTAGTAAATGAGAGATGCCGATTGCAAAACCAATTTGAGACTCAGGATTTCTGTTACGATCTCATTTGGAAGGTTAAATACGGTAATATCCATCCATTATACGTCTATATTGTTCTCTTAGTAAAAAAATTACAAAGCAAAAGTATAGGTAACGTTGTTATGTAATTTCAAAAAGAAATCTCAAACAAAACGAAAATGAAATTTTTACCACTGCATTAAAAAGGAGACAAAAATATGAACAAAGATTCTAATATTGATTCTTGGTACTAAAAATGTGGTCGTGGATTTAGAAAAAAAAAAATCAAATCTCTTTTTCTTCCTTAATATTAATTTGCAGTTATTTCAAATTTGATTTGTTCTAATATTTCAATAGAAAACTATTAAAACCATACCTACCCTCAGACCGTCAGCAAATCTAATTTCAAATAATAGTACAACTTCACTGAAGCTCTCGTATCCAATTTATCGTAAATTCACCAAACGGAACCATTCCATTGTAAACTTTATCGATACTTTAATAGATATCGTATATAAACTTACTTTCGTTGTAACATACACGTCCTTCCTATCAGCAACATTGTCCATTACAAAGTTTCGGAGACCTAGGCCCACTTCGTCCTCTACTTTGTACAGGGATGCAGTGTCTATGTGTCTGTAGCCGGCCTCCAGGGCCCATTGTACCGCTCTCGCCAACGAATGGTTACGTGACAACACCCTTGTACCCTGCGACATGACATGACGTTAACACCACTCATATTCAAAGGTATTCGAAGAGACATTGTTTGGAATACAATAAACATTTTCGTACAACGCATTCGGCAACCTTTAAAGTGATCATTGTTAGAATATTTTTGAAAAAATTAATTCAAATAACTCATAGTAAAACGGTGATCGTTCAGTAAATAAAATGAGTAAACAATTATCAAAACAATTTTCAATAACAAAGGTACATATCTCCCACCATAATATGAAAGAAATATAAAAGAGCGTCTGTGTTATTTCGAATCAAACGCAGTCTTTTGTTATTGCGATAAAAAAATAACATTTTGTTTTCGACTCCTACAGAATCATATTAGCTTGCGAAAGAAAACTCCTTTTCGCAAACGGGAAAATGTTATGCGAAAATATTAGCAAATAATATGAAACAACCACCAACAATAAGCGTATTTGAAAAGATTGAAACTAAGACTGGAAAGTTCAAGTTTTTATAAATAACCCTAGCTTTTGCATTCGGATATAACTTATTTTTTTATACACGCAACATTTCGTAATGCAGTGTCAAAACACGTAAAACTACTTCGACATTTCAAGTTAACGATTATTTATTTGTTTCCGACGCATATTTTACGTCATAAAAGTCGGTTACACTGCGGCGAGAAGGTCTACTCCCTTGTGTACAAGATACTCACATCAGCGAGATGCCCCAGGCTTGTGCCGAGTGCAACGAGCGGTATGTCGTTACCATCATTCAGCCTCAATATACGCTCCGAATCCACCTATATATTGGAGCAAAATTGATTTGTTCTGTAACCAGATATAAATATACATATCGTCGCTTATACAATAATACCGTGTACATAGAAAATTGATTTGAAATTTGTCCAATCAAGTAATTTTAATACTTCAACATTATACAACCTATATCAAGTTGAGTTGTTAATAGTTTGGTTCAAATTTGTTTAGACAGAGTTCTTTTGATGTAAAAATCTACTGTCTGCACATATTAGTTTCAGTTTAGATTATTGAATTTTTTTCTTCAAACTACAATGATGTTTAATAGTTTCAGTTTAGATTATTGAATTTTTTTCTTCAAACTATAATTCAATAAACATCATGTGAAGTATTGCTAAATGAATGGGCATCGAACGTCTCCGTAATTCAAATTAAGGTTATTGAATTTCCTGAGTAATATAAGGGACATTATAAGATATTTTTAAAAGTTCTGTCTATTTTTGTTTAATGAGATTCTTAACTTTAATTTTACAATATCGTTTTAGGTAATACCTTTGCACATAGATCACGTTTTATTTCCAGTACTTTTTGGGTCAGGATATATGTTGCAGTCTTCTAATTTTCTGAGCTAGGTATTTATTGACATTTTGCTTACCGCGATTACTTTAAAACGACGTACTTTTTTAACTAATTAATATTTCAAACAACTAAGGATGGAAAATCCTGACGCAGAAGGGTGAGGAGATAGACCAAATAAAAGGAGAAGAAAAAAATAAATATTTAATTTGTCACACGTTTCGAATATACAGGTAGACTAGTGAATGTACTCGTTTACAAGTCATTTTATTTAATGAGTAGTTAGATGTGAAAATATAATAAACAAGTAAACATAGGTAACTTTCAACGAAGATGGATTATATCGTGACGAAGATGCTTAAATAGTTATAGGTACTTAGGTAACCTGATTCTGATTCCCCTTAGAGCAAGTTCCGAAAACTTTACAGGTAACTAAATCAATGTACGTACGTCTAGCGATATAGTTTCTTTGGAATTTTGAGTAAGTTTGTGCGTAACGCATAAATTATGTATCGATTGTGTAAAGAGGGGAGAACCAAGGCGTTTCTACAAAATAGTGGTGTACCTTAATGGATCTAAGATTATGTTTTGTAGTTTCATATGAATCAATTTATTAATTTTTGATATACGTCCCAAATATACAATACGTATTCCATTTATTTATAATTAGTAGGTAAACCACTTTTAATTTACTATTTCTGTCGGAATATGCATCCAATGCAAAATAACAAACTTTTTTTAAACAATTATTTGTTGGACAATGTATAGACGATTTAAGCCTCCGATAACCTCCGTAGCCGAGTTGTTTAGATGACGGTTTCAAGGTGTTCCGATCTCAGAGGTCCCGGATTCGATTCCCGATCGGGTCAATATAGAAAATATATTTTTCTATATTGTCTCGGGTCTGTGTGTTGTGGTACCTTTGTTATCTCAGATAGTCCATAATACAAACCAATTCACAATCATTTATTCAGTCAAGGCTGTTACAAGCATTAGTGAAAGCCAAATGAAGACGATGGCTTTAGCTACTCATCTTGAAATCCAAGAATTGTATGTGATGATGTCTAATATTTACATTTAAACATGCCGAAACTCGCCAGGTAGCGTTATTTAGTAACTAAGTTCTAAGTTTAATTACTAAGGTGGCTATACGCCATCTTCTATTTCCACCATCATACTAATAAAACTCGCCATTGCTTATAGTTACAGTTTCATAGCTGCCTTCCGTCTCCATTATCAGATCACCTCCATTCCATTTTAACATTACAGTTTTATTACAGTTATAGATGTTTCTAAAATTCAATCTTACTTGAAAACCGGGAAGTGGGCGAAATTTTGCTTGTAAGATTTTCGCCACAATAACTAAAGCTCGTAGCGTAGTAGATAAGCGCCGAGGATCGCGATCGTTATTAAGCTACCTTCGCAATGGTCAGTCACGGGATGGGTAGCCAAAAAAATATTATTGAAAATAGTACGTGCTTCGGAAGGCATGTTAAGCCGTTTTTCCCGGCTGCATTTGCAGTCGTTAATACCGTCCAATCCGCATTAGGCCAGCGTGCAGAGTCATGGCCCTTCCTCCTTAACTATATATAAGGAAGGCCTGAGCCCCTGCAGTGGGGACGTAAAAGAGCTGATGATGATAACAAACTAATTAGCATGAATTGTTAAATGACACACATAATTATTAATAATAGATTAACAATACAGGTACTAATGCTAGGGTGGGCAAAGGCGGTCTTATCGCTAAAAGCAATCTCTTCCAGACAACCTTTGATTTGTGTAACATTTGGATGGAAAAACCGGAGGTAGTGTGCCAGTAATACAATAGAAAAAAAAAGCCAAACATAATATAATGAGAAAATAAAGTAGTGTGATAATGAAGGTAAATTGAACAAAAATAAGAATTACAAGGTAAACAATATATGTATAGGTACAAATCCAAAAGATGCTTATGCAATTTAGTTTTGAAAATGGCAACAGATTTTGCATGTCGAATAGCAGACGGCAGCTTATTCCAGAGCACAGCAGCTTTAATGGTAAAGGACTCATGGTAGAATCCCGATCTAGTATAAGGTATCTCCAGCACATTATCCGCCCCAGACCGCAGCTCGCGATTATGATTTGCGCCCAGAAATTGGAAAGATGACTTACTTATAATGATGACTTACTGAATAAACGTCCTGTCTAATTTAATAGGAAATAGTATTTCCGTATTATCATTTTGTACATTTTTTCATTTAAAGTCGCAACAAAACAACTACTTTTTATAATTGGTTGTTTCTAGACTTATCACACTTTAATTCGGATTACAACATTTTGATATAATAGAACTGATATTCATAATTTCACATACATTGAACCAGTTGTTATTTGATGGCTATACCAACTCTATTCCTAAAAGTCACAAATATAAAATCCTTTAGCGGTAATCTTTAAGTGGCCACCCTCAATAAATATGTAAATATAATGTGGGTTAACACCCTTTAGATTTTTACGAATACTCAACTATACTGTAAGTGATATCAGTATTCTACACATCGGAAATGTGAACTACGTAAGCTATGTACAGTCGACAGCAAGTCAGGTTATACAGATCTGTAAAATTTATTCAGTAAATTTTAAATCATAATGTTTTGTAATAAGAGTTTAAAATTAATTTGATATATTGTGATAATCTAACATGCAGCCGTGTGTACGTCACAGATACACAAACGATAGGTATATTTTTTACAAATTTAATAATATCAAAAGTATATTTAATATACTAAAGTATAAATAAAAAAACATTAACGTAAAACACGCTCAGTTCATATTCCCTTTGGTCACAGTTGTTACCCAATCAAACCCATTGTTTGGTTCTTATAACATTTATAGTAGAATTTTACTTAATTATTTATAATATTTAATTATTTTGCATTCACAATGCTGTACTAAAAATATTCTAAATGATTCTATCTCAGAGTGCTAGGGACGAAGCGGATTTTTGAAGCATTTTTCATTAAGGATAATAATATTTGAATTTCAACAGAAATAATTCCAAAAATACCGAAAACTATTAGTGCGTCATATGAGTATTTCGCCTACGAAAAGCTACATTATACGCCGGTGACATTGGCTATAAATAACGCGGGCGAAGTCACGAGAAACAGCTTGTTAAATAAAGATGGATTGATTATGAGTGATGATGATGGCTCTATATAAATTGTATATATCAAAAGGGTCGAATCGCTAGTGTTACTAACAGATTGAGAACAACATCTTTTTATTTATTAATAGCTTATCTGCGCATTTCGCACAATTTTGCCAATGTCAAGTGATTATATTAGCTAAATTAAAGTAAATTTTTTACATGTAAAATTGAAATGATATGTATGAAACAAAATGTCACAGATTACATCGCCAAAGAGTGGAAATCAAAGATTAGTTGATATCACAATAATGTGCAGATGTGCCACAAAGACAATAAAATGCTTACTCCTAAAAGACAAGTCATAGTAATAATATTTCATTGCTCCATGTTGGTATATGTTCTTACATATCGGTTAGTTCTGAACGTGTGTCCAAGAATATTGCAGCATACTTAAAATATATAAATAGGTATAAATAACACAAACTCTTACCAAAGCATAACCCAGATAAATCAATTGCAAAATATTTACACAAATAATACGTGCACCAAGCATTCTGTTTACAATCTAACTAATGTGACTCAATATTTTTGGTAAAACCGGTATTCGTGTAACATTAGAACGAACCATTCATAATTTTATCATCAATAATATTAGAATGGATATAATATGCAAACATCATTTTTATCTCCACGGCTACAATATTACAATTCAAACACAATCCATTAAAATTAGCTCCGCGTTTCTCGAGTTATTACAAAAACTCCAGTTGTTATAACCAGCTCAGCGTGAATTGAATTCCGTACATTTTTTTTTTTAAATCAAAGACTTCTTTTAAGTTTTCTTGCAATGTATAAATAAAGAAAAAATCCCACCCAAATAAATGATTTATAAAATACTTTGTATAATTTATTTTAGGTCCTGTAATTTCAGAATTACGAGTTATTTATTTATTCTTTGAAGCTCTTATTTTTATAAAAAAACTGACTATCTATTGTATTTGATATAACAAGATATGTCGCACAATATTAATTTCACTTTTGTACAATTTTTTTGGATATACTTTATTGTGCACTATAACAGTTATATCGAAACATATATACTATAAACACGTATATATGTTTTGCGGCCTTGTTACAATATCATCCACTAAACTTGTGGCTAAAGAAAATTATATCTATTAAGAAAATAGGCGTTAGTACATTATATAAACTGCAGAATATATATATATAAATTCTATCTTTTATAACTGCAGAATATATATATATATATAATTATATCTAATTAAGGTCAAAAATGTGAAAACAATTTTTAAAAATAAATTATTTACGTTATATATTCCTCTTTGAATTATTAAATTATATTTATCACAGAAGGACATACAAGTGATCTTGATAATACCAGTAGGTGATGTTAAATTGTATTTTGTGAAGAGAAAAACAAAAAGCTGGTAAAATAATGAATACCGCGGCAAATTGATTTACTCTTTTTAATACCATAGACCAGACACCATCCAACCTAAGATCCAACAGATCTTATAATTGATCCGTTTTTGCTGCTGTAGAACGAAACCCTAAAAAGTGTAAAAGCTATTGATATTATCGTCGTTTAACAAAGGCTCTTGTGAAAGTTTCAAACTGATTTATATAATATCCGCTGTAAGATATCTACCAAGATATTTTTTTCTTAAAAACTAATTTACCAACTTTTAATTGCTTGGTTGTATCGTTAAGAGAAAAAAGGTATTATATTTCCATTAATACTATAAAGATGTGAAATAAGATTTATTTCTCTTTATTTAAACTAAAGAGGGCTTTTTCTTCCTCCGACATCATCATCTAGGGTAAAATTCTCTATTGGTATAATCGAATCGAATAGGGAGAATGGGCTATAATATGACCCATCACATGGGCCCTATACGTATTAGTGGATGTTAACGATTGCAGATACAGCCAGGGACAACTGCTTTTGAAGTACGGAGAATCTGGACGTAATAACATTTTGGTTCGCCATACCGGACAATAAATATTGGAAAAAGATAATTGGCTAGTGTCAGTGTTACAAACCACGTGGTATCGTATGCTTTCAAGATTCAATTCCATCCATAAGGAAGATCTATGAATTTGTAATAAAACACAGTTTTAGCAAATGAAACAGCAATCACTTAATTCGTTCAACTCACAGTGATTGTTACTTAAAATAACATTTAAGATTAATCAGACTTTTAGTTTTTCATCAAAGTTTAATAAAAAAATTATGGCTAATACGTTTCGCAAGCGTGCATTCCAAAATTGCTAGATTTATTTTAAAGATAAGTGAGAGAATCGGCAAGCTCTCGTCAGACGCCGAGTTGGTTAAACAGCACGATGCGCTAATTTAGCCCTAGAAAATAGAACGAAAATTCGAATTCGTATACGCCTCGCAGACGTAGATTAGGCTTTTAGAGTTAATTGGTTGATGATGACTGTATGGAAAACCACACACACGTTTCTTTAATTGCTAGGTGAAATTATTTTCATAAACATTTAGGTGAACTAGTATCGTCTAGTAATAAATTTAACTATCTGTTGTCCCACGACTTCACTCGTAGACACAGGTGAAAGTTATTTAAATAATTATTAACATCAGTCCAGTAATTTCGGAGACTATTCGATGCAAACAAACAATGAAATTTCCTCTTTATAATATTATATTAAAGACTTATCTTAATTTCATAATATGAGTATCTTAAACAATATCTTAATCATAAAAATACCAGTAGAAAAACTAATGGGTTACATAAGCTATAATTTAATTGGATTAAGTCATGGGAAAACATTTAGTATTTCACAAAAACTAGCCTCAATATATATAAGGATCTCGTCTCACTACTGTCAAAACAGCAGTTTTCTTAAATTCATAAGATGTTCTTCTGATATACATATTATATCGGTGCTCACTCCCCCATGTCACTTGTAAAATATTCATAAAATTTTCTAATAAGTTGGAAAATTTTAGAGAAAAACTTGAAAGGAAAAATTAAGTGGGCATTTAAATTTCAAATGTCTCGTAAAAGTCGGTGTACTCATTAAGTATTACGCAGATTTAAGCATAACACTTGCTATGTGATAATTACAGTACAAATTAAACACGACTGATTTATTTGACACCATGAATAATAAAAAATTATAAACTTAAGGTTTACTTTGTAAAACATATTAATATCGATGTACAGATATTTAATTTTACTATTATGACATATTATAGTTTAGAAAAATAAATTAACTCATTTTATATTAACACTAATGGATTTAATCACATAATTATCATCAGTCTATTAGTGTCCCCACTTAAACTTTCCCTGCGGATGAAATCGAATCGAAGAGGGACCTGCCGGGCCCAATGCACATTGGTGGGTATTAACGACTGTAGATGCAGTTGGGACCAATGACTTATCGTATCTTCCAAATCATGAAGGAACTTAAGACGACAAATTTTTGGTCACCCATCCTATGATCGGCCATTGCAAAACTAACTTAACAACATCGCAGACCCAACGCACATACGAATGTGCCTTCGAACTCTTCTCTTCTTTCAGATACTCAAACTTATTGAAATTAGAAGGATATTATAATATATGATACTCTCAGAACTAGGCTATAAATATTGGTGTTTGAATTAGGGTTGCCAGTTAGTCGGGAATTCAGGATTGTCGCAACATATTATAAGATTTCCAAAGTTCCGTAAACAAGGATATGTCTCAACAAAAGTTAATAAATAGTTTTTTAGTTAATAAACATATGAACCAATTAATTGATTGCTCGACATTAACGGAAACTTTTTGCTCATCAACTGTATCCGAGCCACAGAACGAACGTATCGATTTTAGTGCCGAGTAATCCCGACTTTTTGGAATTTCGCCCAGATATTTCAGTGTATCCATCAGCAACCCTATTTAGAATAGACTAACGCCAGAGCCGAGCCGCATAATAAATTATTTCACGTGGACCCTTCGCGCGGTTAAGCTCGGAGGTATTGGATGTTAATGTATCGACTAAAGAAGGGGGATATAGTGTTTTATACCATCGAACTATTTTTCGATGACCCTTGCCCCACTTGTTCTAGACACGACGCCCCAACAGATACTAGAAAATGAATTACCCCGTCGGGATCCCGTTAAGTTGGACACTATTATATTAATATCTTCATGCGGGCAATCTCAAATTTTGTTAAATTTAGATGGAAATTGTTAGTGATTAAACTTTTCGTGTAAAACTTAATATTAGTTTAATACTTAATGTTTGGGTTTTAACAAATATGAACAGAATTGTTCTAATTTAGAATAATCTAGTACTCAAACTACTCGTATATGGAAATTCAAGTTTAATCCCACGAGATCCCACGGTTTTGCTCCAATTTTAATTATATCATTTTATAATAAGACAGTTCAGTTAGAACATAACAAATTTGTAATGATACATAATAAAGGAGTACCAGAATCAGATGGGAAATCAGTTTTATTTTTTTATTTGTAGAAGGCATATAGTGAAGGAATATAGTGCACAAACATACATATTTTGGCAGGAAAGCACCCGGCCCAGTAAAGAACTGAATCATGTTTTATCTGACTCAGAATATAACATTAATAAATAAAAGAATTTAGACGTTATATATTTCTTTATTGCTAATCTCAACTAGTATTGGAACTGCTGTTAAACTAACACATCTAAATCAAATCTGGTTTAGATAAAGATAAAAACACTTTATTGTACAACACACAACAGAAATAAATAAAGAGTAACTTACAAAAATTAAAACATTTGCACAATAGGCGGCCTTATAGCTTAACAGCGATTTCTTTCAGGCAACATATACTGGAAGAAGCAATGATAACAATAATGTAGGTAGGCTGTGCGCGTTACAAATAAATTAAATAATATTAATAAAAATATAAAAATGATAATAAAGTTACATAAAATAAACAAGCATACGATGCTTCAGATAATAAGAAGGCAAAATCTGGTTTAGTGCTTCTTATCACAGTCCCTATTTTTACCCGGTGTAAAAAAATTTTAGAAAAATGTTAGAGTAGCTCGGTGGCGTAGTGGAGAGTAGCTCGGTGGCGTAGTGGATAAGTGCCGCGGCCCGCGATTGTAGTCGTTAAGCAACTTTCGCAAGGGTCGGTCACGGGATGGGTAACCAAAAAATTATTATCTCGAGCTACTCCGTGCTTCGGAAGGCACGTTAAGCCGTCAGTCCCGGCTGCATTTGCAGTCGTTAATACCCTCCAATCCGCATTTGACCAGAGTGGAGGGTCATGGCCCATCCTCCTTAACCATCCATAAGGAAGGCCTGAGCCCCTGCAGTGGGGACGTAAAAGGGCTGGTGATGATGATGATGATGTAAAAAAATTGTTTCATATCTCCAATGAAAATTTACGAATTATTATTTAAAAATAAACTAACACATTAATTGCCAACAGTAGACTATTTATATTCCAATAGAAAATCGTGATATTTTCTTTTGTTTTTTTTAGTGCCATAAGATTCTGGTACACCTAGTATGGGTGTACCACA